AATTAGGGATGGCTAGCGCAGATAGCCCTCGTGTAGCTTTGCGCGAAATTCAAAACAAACAAAAAATATTGGTGAAAATTGCCGATCACCACTAGTTTTAGTAGATTTATTCAAGATATTCTTATATATATATTGAAAATGTTTTTTCTTTAATAACTTTATTTATTCATTGAAAATTACATATAAGAATGTATAATCTGCATGCTTGGACAAGCTTCTTTCATGTTCACAATATGAGCCACGGGAATCGATGGTTTACTGTTGCCATTGTGTAAAAGTACAGCTTTCAGACTAACTTTAGATGAGTCGATAAAAAAGTCTCCATTCTTCAGGGTAATATTCAATACCTAATTCTTCCATTAATGCATCAACAGTTGTAAAGAAACACAAAGTATCTTACATGCTGTAGTGAGAAGCAAGACTTTGATGGCGACTTCGATAAATTGAAACTCTTGTTCCTGGAACTAATATATTCCATTGCTGTAAACGAGAACCAAAAAGTTTCCTATGCTGTTTTCATAGAGACAAATTAGGAATCAGATCATTTAACTCTTCATGAGTGATCAGATGAGGCAGCTTATGTTGAGGAGCCACAGTAATAGAATTACAACATGAAGAGGATGAAGATGATTCATTGTCTTCTTCGCAGGATAATTCTTCTGTTTCACAATTGGCTGGTGGATGTGGCACTGGAAGACCATACCCATGAGGTACCGGTTCCATTGCAGATACAATATTTTGATGATTTTTGCACTTTCAGACTTTACTTGAACTGGAGGGAGCCATCATTTCAAATGATTTTCTAAAAAGTATAAAAGGATTTATGTTTACAGAACTAGAATTTAAAAGATTTTAAAAAACAAGGTTATGCAGAATTTGATTATTTCGTGGGTATGATGCGAGGAAGAAGATCGGGCTTTGTTTTGACTGTGCGCGAAGTGACCAACTGAGTGAGTTAGAAGCAACTGAGAGAAAAGCGTCTGACTCTGCCCCTTTTATGCTCAGTCGAGGGAATTGTAGAATGTTCTATCAAATTGGGCACGTGAGGGTTTCGTGATTCCTGGGCGGAGCAGATGAGCGTGAGAATGAAGCAAAAGTGGTGCAATTCGCTACAGTCATATTGAGAACGAATAGAATGTATGAACAATATATTTGGAATTTTACACCAATACAGTGCAGTAAATGTTTGAAGTTATCACAAATATATATATATACCTTTTACCCATTAAACTCCATGTAAACTTAATTTCACAGCATAAATCTATTGTACTGAGTTGATTGCATGGTATTTCACATAATGCTGATAAAATATTCAGATATTGCAATAACTCAACATCTAGAGGTGATAGACAAATTCTGACTACATTATTTAGATCAACACCATCAAATTACCCTGATTCACTGGAGTTTTTCCAATAGTAATTTTTTCTTGGCCAGTTTGAAAACTGGTAAATCGGTAGTGAAAGTTATTTTCATGTATCTGTCCGATAGTATTTGAGAACTGGTAAGTCGGAAATTAAAGTTGCATTTATCTTTCTGCCCACCAATCGTTCGGAACTGGTACGTCAGTAGTTAAAGTTGACTTTATCTATCCGTTCGATAATCTTTCAGAACTGGTAAGTCAATAGTTAAAGTTAACTTTATCTCTTCGTTCACCTGTCCAACTAACTGTACCCGCCACATCGAACCATCATCATTATTTATTTTCTTCTTTTAAAGACATCTGATCAAATTAAATCAGATTAAATCAAATCTGATTAAAGACATCAATAAGCAATTGGTTAGTTTCCAAATTCCAGTGTCTCCACACGTGAATTTTTATGGATTTCTCCTGCAATTTTTCTTGGTTAATTTTGAGGTGACAATGTCTTCAATATGTGGCTGAGTTTTTATGGACTTCTCCTGCAGTTTTTCTTGGTTAATTTCGAGATGACAGTGCCTTCAACATGTAGCTTAGTTTTTATGGACTTCTCCTGCAGTTTTTCTTGGTTAACTTCGAGGTGACAATGTCTTCAATATGTGGCTGAGTTTTTATGGACTTCTCCTGCAGTTTTTCTTGGTTAATTTCGAGATGACAGTGCCTTCAACATGTAGCTTAGTTTTTATGGACTTCTCCTGCAATTTTTCTTGGTTAATTTCGAGGTGACAATGTCTTCAATATGTGGCTGAGTTTTTATGGACTTCTCCTGCAGTTTTTCTTGGTTAATTTCGAGGTGACAATGTCTTCAATATGTGGCTGAGTTTTTATGGACTTCTCCTGCAGTTTTTCTTGGTTAATTTCGAGATGACAGTGCCTTCAACATGTGGCTTAGTTCTGCTGCCATTTTTTTTCTCGTTGGTTTGTCAGATGACAGTCTTCAACATGTTGACTTTGTTTTCTATGGACTTCTCCTGCCATTTTTTTATTTTTTTTTGGTTGGTTTGTCAGATGAAACCTGGACGTTACTTTCTCTTTCAGCTTCTTACCATTGCTCGAGGTATCTATTTGACAAACGTAGATTTAATTTTTCAGTCTTTCGGTACAGTACCTTACCACTAGAGTCAATAGTGTATGAATAACACGTGCCTTTTTATATCTTTCCGAAGCTTGAACGACAAATGATGCCACCTCCGAAATACGGACCTTTGAAGAAAAAGAAGTTCAAGAAAGTGAACAACAGTGAATTCTACAGGTAACAGTGAAAAGTGATTTTGTTGTATAATAATGGGATAAAATAGCAATATCATTAGCAGCGAAGGTTTTTAAACTCATAAAACAACACATTCTTATCTTCGCAAGCGTATACATAAAAACAGTATGGTTAATGTAATATATTGATGGCCAGGTTGATTTGTAGTTTCACCCTAAATACGTAGATTACTCTGATCAGAAATTATTAGTATTATAACCATATGTCGAAGCGTTACACCTTAGAAAATCGTTACGAGTGAGAAAATTATTTTTAAAATGTGCTTTACTATTTGTGTTTTTGTTTTGTTTTTCGTGCATAAGGCTTTAAAAAAAACGTGTTAACATTATCCGATGTGATGTAGTTTTGTGTTATATTCGTGTTATTGGATGTCATGTTTCTTGAATCCAACATGTTATAACTTTTATTTATATATTTTCCTGTTCTTTATGTCTCTACGATGTCTGATATAAGCATGATAAAAGTTTCAAAGAAATATTTTAATTCGAATAACTTTTAACATGTATATATATAATTGGAATACCAATCTTTTCTTGCAGCACCACCTCTGATAAAGCTAAATCTGGTGATTCTGATTCAGACAGCGCCTATGGATTCTATTGCTGATTTCTGATGGTACAGTAAGAGTCATTCGGATTACACCTTCGTAATTCGACACGTTTCGATTTTTCTCCAATACTAAATTTTTGTTAAACATCGAGAATAAAGAATGTAACAAGTTTCATTAAGAAGCGAATGGTTTAGACGAGAGAAAAAAAAGGCTTAGCTGCTGCCGGTTGCTTATCTCCATATTACTAACATACAAGGTCTGTGAATTTTTCATGTCGTTAGGAGTCGCGAAATTGCATATGATGGGGATATAGTAACCGTCCTGGATGGACTTATAGTAACTGTCCTGTATAGAGTTACAGCTACTGTTCTGGATGGACTTGTAGCTACCGTGTTCGATGGAGATATAATTAACATCTTATTGATGTTACACTTTTTATATGGAAGCATTTTCGCAGAGCTTAATAAGAGCCACTCATTTTAACGTATTTTGTAGTAACATTACAATGCCTTTCTCTTGTTTCATAAGCATTATTGATACGATTTTATTTTTATTACAGTATTTTGTTTTTTCGTATTGTGTTTCATTGACCGTCAATATGTTATATTTCGTTGTTTTAAACTGTAACTTGTTTCAGAAACAGTTCTTAAACGAAAAAAAGTATGAATAATTATCACATTTACCCTGCTCTTATATCTTTATTTTGTGTGTGTACACTCCTCCTCCAACCCTATGAACTTGATTTGTTGGAAGTTCAAAATCAATCGTCATATGGTTAAAAGTTGAAATTGACTCGACAGTTCTTGAGATAACATTTCACGATATAAAGATGAACTATTAATTCTTATTAGTTTATATGAAACAAGCTTTGGAGCCGTAAGCCGCATTTAGTTATATGTAAATTATTGATGTATGTGAAATTCACTAGTTAATAAAGCTAGATTTTTTTATCATCTTTTTAAATACAAGCTTCTTAAAATTATGGGCCGGGTGTGGTTCAGTAGTTGGCGTGATTGACTGTAAATTTTAGATCCATGTTTTGAATTCTGTTGCCGTAATATCACACCCCGCGCTTTAGGACCACCGTGGTTGTGTTATAAGATTGGCGGTCAAATATTACTATTCGAACAGACAGGAGAAGCCTAGAAGTTGGCGGCAAGTACTGTTGACTAGCTGCCTTCTCCCTGTTACTTCAAAATTAGGACGGCTGGCGCAGGTAGCCCTCGCGTAGCTTTGCGCACAAATTTTGAAACAAACAAACAAACTAAAATTCATCGTTTCATTAACGGTCCCCCGGTGGGACAGCAGTAAGTCTACGGAGTTACAATGCTAAAATCAGGGGTTCGACTTTCCTCGGTGGACACAGCAGATAGTGCGATGTAGCTGCGCTATAAAAACACGCACACATTTCATTAACGAGCGCGATAATAATTATTGTGAAAATTATGCATAACTTATTCTTTCAAAATTCCACTAACATATTTTTCCCCAAGCAATTATTTGAAACATATATCAGTAGGTTAGCGGTAAGCTTACGATCGTCCAACGTTAAAATCTGGGGTTCCCCGTGGTGGACAGAGAGCAGATAGATTATTGTGTAGGTTTGCGCTGAAACAAATAGAATTATTGGCCTGTCATAGCTTGGTGCTTAGTCGCTCGATTTGTACTCTGCGGGTCGCGGGATCGAACCCCGTGACAGAATATGCTCGCCCTTTCAGCAGTGGAGGCTTTATAATGTGACGGTTAATCCCATTATTGGTTAGTAAAAGAGTAGCCCAAGTATTGGCGGTGGGTGTTGATGACTAGTTGCCTTCCCCTAGTCTACATCTTTAAAAGTATCTGCGCTAGCCGTCCCTAATTCAAACCCGAAATCCGCAGATTGCGAGTCAAGTGCCCTAATCACCACACCATGCCAGGCCAAGAACTATTTTTAAATGAAATCTTATACGTATCATTTTATTCAGAAGAGAAAATAACCTATTATATCATGGTAATCTTCATCTGGTGTGTATTCAACTTAGGCGTATGTCGCTGCTTAGTTTGAACCCTCGACAACAGTGATTCTCAAACTTTTGTTCGTGCTCTACCTAAATATATCCAACCCTTCCTCGAACCACCTGAAGAAAACCTGCCAACCACAGCTTTAGAATCTACACAGCTGTGTTTCTACGTAGATGTACGCATGGGTTGCGTGTGAACTCCGTCTGTACGCATAACAACTGTGTATAAAACTCCATACTTACATCAACAATAATTAAAAAAAACTCACCAGGTTGTGTAAGAAAAATGATCAGATGGAAAACTTACAAAGTAATAACCATGTGACCAGTCTTGTTGTTATCTTTTATCGCCAGGTTACTAAGCAACTGTTTACCAGGGTCATCGGGTACAAAAATGCTCATTCACACAGCATATGTTCGTTATGCAACCTTGAGCCACTCGGAGATCACTATTCACTCTGAACAACATTCTGGTCACTAGCTTTAGAAAGAAGAAACTCATCTTGCCCTCACACGTTTTACAACAATCTGATTAGCGTTACATATCATCAATCGATGCAATAAAAGGAGTGATACATATACACACTCCAAAAACACCCAATTCACTCTAGTGTGTGGACTTTCCAGCAACTTCGGAAGATGTTTTTTTTTAGGACGACAAAACACTTCACGTAGCGAGAATTATTGTCGACGAATCTGATCAATCGCCACATCTAAGTCTCATTGTGTGGCGGAGTGCCCTGGTGCCGGCTCCGCACATTCAGTTGTTATTCAGTTAAAAGTAGTCATGTAGGCGGCGGGTGCTATTGATTGGTTGCCTTTGATCAACAGTTCCAAGTTAGTGGCCGCTATGCCTGTACCATGAGAGCTCTAACCTGATTATTTAGTCCATACTTTGATTAAAGTATCAGTAAGGTTGATAATACCATGATTTAAACCCATACAACTCTAATGGGATACCCTTAAAGCTGGACTTTCCTGCTTAGACACCTCTGATGGAATTGAAGAATGTTCTTTTAGGAAAATGTTGTTGACAATTTTCGTTATAAGGCCAAATACCATAATGAACCTTTTCAAACACCTCTTTCGATATTTGTACATCTCTCGTTTATCTACAAGTTTAATATATTTGAGTGACAAAACAGGGAAACGGTGAAGCATAAATATGAACACACAAACACGACATATACATATTATTATCAAGGAAGGATACACCAGCACGCTTGCTACTTTAAATAGTATTGTTCGTTATACCAGTTATTTTTCTTCTAGTATTTTCCAGTATTTTTCACAACATTTATGTATATATTTATATTCCATTGTGTCTGTTAGTTACTGAAGGTAAACTTTATGATCAATTATTCATAGTATCTGTTAGTTACTGAAGGTAAACTTTATGATCAATTATTCATAGTATCTGTTAGTTACTGAAGGTAAACTTTATGATCAATTATTCATAGTATCTGTTAGTTACTGAAGGTAAACTTTATGATCAATTATTCATAGTATCTGTTAGTTACTCATGATAAATTTTATATTCAACCCTGCACTGTCTTTATTAGTTACTAACGATAACCTTCAATTTCGTCCACGTATGGAATTTTATTAATATTTTTCTAATTATTATTGATGCAATACTTATATATATATATATATATTAACAGTTAACATAAGCTGGTAGGAGATCATATGGCGCCATTATGAGTTGTCAGTTTTCATCCCAACATTTTTAGAACATAAATAACAAGAATTATACGAGAAAAGTATTGTAAGCTTTCTTAGGAAAACAACGTCGTTTTTCCTTTCGCCCTGAAAACGCCCTTCTGGTGTCTTCTCGTTCAAATCAGTTGATGGGTTCCTAGGGCTATAATATGAACGAATTCCTCTCGAGATTGTTCTTTATTACACGTGCTTCTATCAAAAAAAAAAGGACGAACTCTCGTCGGTATATCGTCCTAAACTGACGACATTGTCATTGAGTAGACCCTCATTTTGAATCCATAAAGGGAGAAGTGACAGCCTATTTATAACACCAGCCAATATCTGCAGTTATTGGGCCGACGAAACACCGCAGAATGTGGCAAGAATTTAATAGTAGTTGAGCGAAAAGCCATAAAACAACGTCGAGAAGCGTAAGTTTCCCGTATCGTAGTGGTTTTGCTGACACGCGTGAAGCACGGCGTTGAATATGTCGGCAATACAGCAAATGACACCCCATCCAAATCCGTTAATATAATGCCTCCGAGATACACCGTATTGTGTTATGGTCGGCCCAAGTGCTTGTTTGCGGATCTTGCTGCATGCTTCTCTACTAAAGAACTGACTTCGTTAGTTCCTTACTCGTCATCTGAACCGCCATACGTCCAACAATGGGCTTTGCATCACTCTGGAATGTAAGAAAACGAATTACCGCGCCTGTTCATTCTAAGTTCTTTATAGCACCCGCTTCTAATTAAGTACTGTCTTGTTTGAACAGTGGGGGAAATAGAGCGAAATTACGTCCATTTGCCAAGGCCTGATTACTGCTAAGGCTCGTGAGTGGTAATTACCAATCCCTGCTTATACTACTTATGTTCAGTCTATCGACGTCATCATAAAACGTACATAACTCCTGAGTGGATGAAACTTTCAGGAAGTAGTGAAACCCCACCGCTCTTCTGTACAGCTATAGAATGAATACTGTAATGTGATATTCTACATGGATATCTGTAGCAGTTATCTGTACGGGGATACATACGTTAAGTTCCGTGTAATGTTCATAGTTTATAAGGCTGACGTGGATGTAACCATACAGTTTTCACCTGACAATAGATTTTAATTCTTTTAGATTCTCAAATGCATAGATGAAATATAATTTATTATTTTCACCGTATAAAACTCACGTGATGTCCGCCACAAATCACCAATTGTATTAGAGACCTGTAAAAATTATAAGCAAAAAAAAAAACAAAAAAATTCGCATACAATACATAATGGTGTTGATACTGAGCAAAGCATTTTGTACCACTAAAGTTATCTGACGTAAGTGATATATTTAATATCAGAGAAGCGTCCAATGGTATACTGTTAATTAACACATTATCTATACGAGAAAGCTTAGACCACTAAAAGAAATATGTTTTATTTTCCAATCGTGTTCTATCTCCCAATGGCTCAGCGGCAAGTCTGAAAACTTATAACGATACAAACCGGGTTTCGATACTCTTGGTGGGCCTAGCAAAGATAGCCTATTGCGTAGCTTTGTGCTTAATAACAAATCAATTGTATAAAAAAACGCCACCCGTGGGATATGGGTTTTATTTGCTTTTAAATTCTGAATGACTTATGCTAAAACTGAGAAAATATATTACGGATAGTTTCATTAATTCACACCAGAAGTCGCCACATTAATCTTTACGTTATAAACAAAACTGTAACCGGTGGCTTTAAATATTGCTTTGTGCTCCTTATGTGAGATTTGATGTACAGTATAAATGCCTATCACGTTTATTAAATAATGCATTTATTTGTTGCAAGACTGACCAATAGGAATCATTATACACATAAGGAATTTATAAACGCCCTCTTCCTTTGTCCTCCAGGGACGGGTGTGGCCGAATAGTAACGTGCTCGGACTGTAAATTAAAGGGTTTATGATTTGCGGCCGGTAGTCATATCTCAGTGTTTGGTCAAACAAGAATTGTCAGTGGATGCTTCTAACTAGTTGTCTTTCTTCTAGTCTATCAGTTCCAAATTAGGGACAGTTATGCGCACATAGCCCTCGTGTAGTTTTGCATGAAAATTCTGAAATAAGCCTTTCCTTCCTCATGTCATAAAGGAGCAACTGTAAATACACACATTTGGTGTTCAAAAACAACCACATCACTTGCGGATATAGCATCCAGGCAGTGCCACATAAGACATGATTACCACATAAAACATTTTGTTGTCATATTACAAGTCAAGGGGCCATC